GTAGCTGCGGCCGCCGCCTCCGCCATGGCTTCCGCCTGGTGCCGCCGCCCGGGAGCGCTGGACGCGGGTGAAAGGTCACTCAGAGCGGAGCCCGGCGCGACCATTCGCCGCGGCGCTTCCCGGCAGCCACCGCGGCGACTGGGCGGAGGGTGCGGCGCGCCCGCAGCTTCACATTCTGTGCCCCCGCCCACCGCGCCCCCTGCCCCGCCCCGCCCCGCCCCGACAGGGTCACGCCTCGGCCTGGAGCGTCAGCCCGGAAGGTGAGTCGCCCGACAACCGGTGATGGATGAGCCGTGGCCCCACCAGTTTATGAGCCAAACCACAAGCACCACCCCCTCCCCGCCGCGGGGTCTGGGTGACCTGGGGTATTGCCTGAAACTCTGGAGGCGCTTGCGGGCTGGGGACGCCCTGGGGCGTCTGAACCAGCCGCGCCTTCCAGGCGCTGTCCTACCTCAGCTTTTACCCCTGAAGGATCACTCACCTGAAGTCCAAACTTAATCTTTTTGCCTTTAACTCTTAAGAGTGCAAGTAGCTCTCATCTTCTTGTTGCTCAGGGCTTGCTGTGCGCCTGACACTGCTTTAATGCTAGACTTCAAGTAAGTAATCGCCATTTTACAGATGCAAAAACTGAGACTCAGAAACATGTGACTAGTTTAAGAGCTTACTGTGTAGTAAATGCTAACACTGGGTTGCATTTTACATTCTGTTTCCTAATCCAGCTGTAGGTGATCTTTATTGCTACAGATAAAATTACCCAAGAGCTGTGAAGATTTCTCAATTATTGACAAATTGACTTCAGTTTTAGATAGTAGATTGCCATGAGATTGGGGAATCTCCATACAAACATAGTTCAGAACCATTTCCAGCCAGTCTTGCTAAGAGTTAGCTTAAAGACTGTACAGGCTATTGTCATTTTACATGGTATTACCACTTTCAAGTTATGTCTAACTTAGAAAAGGAAAATATTAGCAGAGGGTCATGACAGCTTCTAAGACTGAGAAGCTATCATTATAATGAACTTCCAGACAGGCCCAGAAATGGTTTTAAAATGTCCATTAAGGCAAGCTTCTATTAAAAAATCACCTCTAGCTTATGACCTGTGTTTATACAACCCTAGAGCTATTTAGTTTTATGTTTGAAAACCTTTCCTTAAGTGGGGGAAAAGGAAGACAAGAAATATCTAAGAGAGTCCTACAAATGGTCCCACAAATTCTAAAATACATATTTTTTTACCTTCATATAAACATTTTTGTTCTGAGAAATAAAAAGAGATGCCAGGGGCTGGGAAGGTGGCTCAGTGGTAGAGCGCTTGCCTTGCATGCATGAGGCCCTGGGTTCAATTCCTCAGCACCACATAAGCAAAAAGAAAAAAGCTGGAAGTGGCACTGTGGCTCAAGTGGTAGAGTGCTAGCCTTGAGCTGAGGGACAGTTCCCAGGCCCAGAGTTCAGGCCCCATGACCAGACCAAAAAAATAAAAATAAAAAATAATAATAATAAAAAGAGATGCCAATCCCACATCCAAAACAGCACAAATGACCAGCAATAGAATAAATTATGTCAATATTCTTAAGAAACTGAGTCATGAAAGTATTAGAATAAAGAAAAAGTAGGAAGTGAACTCAACAGACCAGGTGGGAAGTTGAAGAGGGATGTGATGGTGACCTGAAGAGAGTCAGGAGATACCAGGCTTTCTGGAGTTTATGGTGCAGACCTGGTGCAGAAAGCTATTGTTTGAACAAGTTTCCTGCCCTGCCCGTTTCTGGTTAAAGGAACTCAGGCACCTGTCACCTGGTGGGAAGAGAAGGGAAAGAGCTTTCATATGTAGGTTAAGATTCTGGGCTGGAAACTCCGCTGAAGAATTTCAGGAAAGTACCCCTTCCTGAAGGATAGGAAAGGTGATCAGTGGGTCAAGCTATGGGAGTAATATTGAGTTATGAGAACAAAGCAGATTCCCTGAGACCCTGAAGGGCTATAAAAAGTAGAGGGACATTGTGACATTGTGGTCTTTTCTGGCTACTTCCTGCTCACATTGGGGTATTGGTTCCATATATATATGTGTATATATGCATACATATGTTTATATACATATATATGTATGTATGTATGTATGTATATGGTCTTAGACCTTTGTCTGATATATTACTGGTAAAAATCTTTTTCCAGTCTGTTGGCTGTCTTTCTAGTTTAATAGCTATGTCCTTAGCTAAACTTTTTTGTTCTTAGTGGAAACTATTTTGTCTTGGTATAATTCCATTTGCCAAGTCTCCCTCCTATCTACTGTGCCATGGGATTCTTTTCAAGAAGCTAATACCAATAGCTATAAATTCTAATGTTTCTCCTATTCTCTCTTGTAGTAATTTCAAAGTTTCAAGTCTGACATTTAGGTCTTTAGTTCACTTTGAATTGATATTAGTGCATGATGATAAGCATAAGTTTTCTTTAGTTACTTTTCAAGGGTCAAGAACAAGTGACTCCATTCAGGATCTGACACCATTCAGTTTTATCTAAGCAGTTGTTCCCAATTGCCTCTAGATAGTCCCTCATTGCCAGGATAAACTTTGTCTTGGCAGGTCTGATAGATCTCTTCTTCTTGCTGGGATAATCTCCCAGTTGGCATTTTTGCTTGATCTGGGATGACCTGTCCCAGTTGACTGAATCTCACATTGAAGGGAGATGGCTGACAGATTGGGTTAGAGTTGGTGCCAATAGACCCCTTTATTTTCAATTTAAGCAACAAGTAGATCGATAGAAATTGTTTTTTATATGTATTTTATTGTAAAGATACTGTACAGAAAGGGGTTACAGTTACATGAGTAAGGTAATGAGTACATTTCCTATCAAGCATTCCTACCCCCTCCTTTATTTATCCCCTACATTCCCTCCCCACCTCCCCATCTCCTCCCTCCCCCTCCCAAGTTGTTTTCAACATAGTGTCTTGTACATCTCATTGTTACAATGGGTCAACCTGTATCCTTATTTAAGCATTTTGTTATTTACCTTCCCCTCCCCAAATTAGAAAAAAAATGTATATACAAGATGCAGAGCACCAGAATCAAATACAACGAAAACAAGGGTTAGACCAAGGGGGAAGAACATACAAAAGAAACAAAAAAAAATCATATAGTACATTAAAAACAACAGCAATAAAGATTAAACCTCTTGTGTCCCTATCTTGAGGTTCATTTCACATAGCATCATCATATATGGTCATATGAACATAGTTTTGACCTTTTCTGCTTGTCTGGTAAGATTATCCTAGATGTATACTAGTTATTGAAAATAAGGGAAACCATTGGACATACGTTTCTTTGGATCTGGCTTACTTCACTTAATATAATTTTTTCCAAATCTTTCCATTTCCTAACAAATGGGGCAGTGTCATTCTTTCTTATGTAGGCATAGAATTCCATTCTGAGTGTGTGTGTGAGTGTGTGTGTGTGTGTATAAAATCACATTTTGTTGACTCATTCATCTACTGAGGGGCACCTGGGTTGGTTCCATATCTTAGCTATGGTGAATAAAGCTTTAATAAACATAGTTGTGCTGGTAGCTTTAGTAAGGCCTTGTTTGTGATCGTTTAGATAAATGCCCAAAAGTGGGATTGCTGGATCATAGGGGAGCTCTATATGGAGTCTTTTGAGGAACCTCCATACTGTTTTTAAGTGGTTGAACAAGTTTACACTCCCACTAACAATTCAGTAGGGTTCCCTTTTGGCCACATACCTGTCAGCATCTATTGTTACTAGTTTTCTTGATTATAGCCATTCTAACTGGGGTGAGGTGGAATCTCAATGTTGTTTTTATTTGCATTTCTTTTATGGCCAGAGATGTTGAGTATTCATGTGTTATTGGCCATCCTTATTTCCTCTTCAGAGAAGTCTCTCTTTAAGTCTTTAGCGGACTTATTAATGGGGCAGTTGTTTCTTTGAGGATTTGTTGTTGGGAGATTTAACTTTTTGAGTTTTAAGTATATTTTAGATATAAGGCTTTTATCTGTTGTATGGCTAGTGAAGATCTTCTCCCAATCTGTGTTCTTTCTATTGATCTTGCAAGCTATGTCCTTTGTCATGCAATCCCATTTGTCCAAGCTTTCTTTGATTTGTTCTTGGGTCTTTATTAAGAAAATTTCAGCCCTTGCCCTTGGGTCTTTATTAAGAAAATTTCAGCCCTAGAGTTTCTCCTATTCCTTCCTGTAATGTATTCAGGGTGTCTACTTTTGCCATTAGATCTTTGATCCATTTGGAGTTGATTCTGTTGCAGGGTGCTATATAAAGATCTAGCTTTAGTTTTCTATAGGTGTTTAACCAATTTTGCCAGCACCATTTACTGAAGAAGCTCTTTCTTCTATTCTTTTTTTTAGCTCCCTTATCGAAGATTAGGTGGCTATAGGTCTGTGGGTTTAAATAGAAATAGTTTTTAAATAGGGCCTACCTGGAACTTAGTAAGACTCAAAGGTGAACTTGCCAAATAAGAGTCATCTGTCTCTCTGTGGTCTGACTGTAATTGCTACAGAGGATTAAATCTGTAATAGGAAAACTTAAAAAGTAGTTATGATGAGAGTTTTAAAACAGCAACTGGTTAAACATCTAGTTATTTTTAATTGTATATAGCATTTTAGGATACTAATTAAGATTGAAACCACTGTAGATGTCACTAACCTTTTTTGATTACAATGAGGCATGCAAGAACATAAGCTTGTTTCATGATTTTTTAGCTCTGTATCAAAGACGGCTTACATACGTGGGAAACACACATGTTAGACAGCAAAAATTAGCACATTAGTTTTAAATACCTATTTAAAAGGTGATCATTAAATGAACTTTGGCTTAATTATGTGATTCATACTTGATGAACTTAATATTTCACAAGCAGTTTCTTTTTTGGATGGACATGAACAATGGGAACCTGGTTTTCAGTGTATTAATCTAGACCTTAAGAAAAATACTTAGATAAGTTTTTAGAGTCATAATTACCCTTAGACACATTTGGTAAAAAACCATATCTGATGACCTTCTTTGCAGTTTAGACTACCATTTCTTTTCCTTTTGGCATGCTGAGCCAGTTAACTCCTGCTTACAGTGCTGACAGTTTTTATGCATTAAAA